CTCTTCTTCACAGCTACGGCACCAAGTCGAGCACCGCGACCGGCTCCGCAACCGGATCCGCCAGCGGTTCCGCCCCAACCAACACCGCCGCGACAACGACCGCCTCCAACGCCGCAGCCAGCTCAGGCACACGCACTGGCAGCGCCGCCGCCGAGACATCGACAGAAGGCTCCTCTGCCGCACACGTCGCCGTCCCAGGTCTTGCTGCTCTTCTCGGTCTGGCCGCTTTCTTGTAAACAACAGCAAGGAATTCTTGATTTGGCTTATGACTTCTTTTTTTCTTTTTGGAATAGCGATGCGAGAGTTCTTTGGCTTGAATGCTACTTTGCACAGGATATGGAAAGTGGACAAGTTACAAACAGTGCGAATGTGTCTGTTGTGAATCTGGACATCAGGCGAGAGCTCGGAGTACACCCATACGTGGGTGATGCGTGAAGGCTTGTCTCGAAAAGAAGGCTAATGTAGTAGAGCTCGTGAGCTCGTCACACTCCAATGCAATGCGCTGTACGACATCCAACATTCTTGTGAGACTTGAAACTTTTTTCTCATTACTACTTCTATTGCTACTGGATTTCAGTCGACGCCGTTCTAGGATCATCGACAAAGCAGCATCATCATTACCAGGTGTGCCGGGCACGGTCACGCGGTGCTGGACCCACGATCCCTCTGCGCGCGCTGGTCTGGTGCATCGTCACACCTGCCAACCATCTACAACGGTGGTGTATCAGCAAACAAGGCCGCGCTGAAGGCTTCTGGATAACGAGATCCTGCTGGCTGAGCATTCTCGCACGCCTTGCGGATCTCTGCCTCTTCCTCCTTCGACAGCTTGATCTTGAGCGCGCCCAAGTTCTCTTCGACACGCTTGATGTTGGTGGTACCGGGGATTCTGAACCAGTTCAAGTCAGTAATCACTCTAACATCAATCCAGACAAGAGTACGACTTACGGGAAGAAGTCGTCACCTTGAGCCAGAATCCAGGCCAATGTCAATTGAGATGCGGTGGCATTCTTCTTCTTGGCAATCTCGGTGATGCGGTCCACGAGCTCGAGGTTCTTGGGGAAGTTCTCCTCCGAGAAACGCGGGGCGAAGGTGCGGAAATCGCCTTCCTCGAAGTCCTTGGGCGAGCGGATGGTGCCGCCTAGCATGCCTCGACCGATCGGGCTGTATGCAACGATGGCGGTGCCGAGCTCGCGAGCGGTCTTCAGGAGGCCAATCTGATCGCTCTCGATGTCCAAGCTGAAAGGCGAGTATTCGATTTGGATGGCATCAATGTGAGCGACCTTGCTGGCGCGGCGCAGAGACTCGCTGGAGCATTCGGAGATACCGATGTACTTGATCTTTCCCTCCTGTTGCAGCTTCTTGAGCTCTTCGACTGTCTTCTCAACTGGTGTCTTGCCGTCGAGACGGTGTGCGTAGTCTAGTCACGAGCGTCAGCCGAGTCGCATCCTCAAAGTGAACTCAGTATGCTTACAGAGATCGATGTGGTCCACCCCCAATCTCGACAGCGACTTCAAGCATGCCTTGCGAGCGTATTCTGGTGAGCTATCCACCCAACGCGAACCGTCTTCACCCTTGCAGTTGGCGAACTTGGTGGCGAGAAAGATCTTCTCACGCTTGCCTGGGTTCTTCTTGAACCAGGCGCCGAGCAAGTCCTCCGAGTCGTCATACATGTCGGCTGTGTCCCAGAACAAATCGCCATCTTCGTAGACCTTGTCCAGAACGGCGAACCGCTCATTGTCGGGCTTTGGCTTGCCATAGAAGGCAGACAGTCCCATTGTGCCATATCCAATCCGTGTCACGTGTGGGCCATTCTTTCCAAGCTTAGCAGTGGGAAGCTTGTTGCCAATGGCACCGTCGGTGGCCTTTCCGAGTGCGTTCTTGATTGCTTCCGCCATGTTTGCTGTTCGGTGTGGATTTCAGAAGTGTTGTCAAGGTGGGTGAGAAAAGTTGGAATTGTTTCGCTGATCGGATGGTGGGAGGATCTCGATTTCTTATAGAAGGCGGCAGTCCGAGGGCCATTCAAGTGCGACTCTGCTGTTTCGTTCTTGCGCCATGACGTTCAAACGCAGGAGCACGGAGTTTAGCTGTTATCGCCACTGGCAGCTGCCCCGCATCAGCCGCTTAACAGCACGCACTTCACCTTCTCCCAGGAAGGGTCCCGCTGGCTATGCTGGATGCGGAAACTATGCAGAACGATGCATCTGGTTCTGCGGCCGCTCGACGCCGCACGTGTCTGTCGACTATGAGAAGTGCCTTAAGTCCGCATCTCACACCAGCAGCGGCGGCCCAGCGAACAGCATCAATTCCGCCTGGAGGCAGCAGCATTCTGCTCCCAGATATTCGTGACACAGCAGCTTCCCGCATTATCACTAAGCAGAAGGATGCTTGCTGGCGCTCGAGTAACACTGGACAAGACAAGGCACCATCCCGATACCAGGGCCATTGCTCGTCCGAGCCTTGCAAAGTGCGGCACCGGAACAGAGTAGACTCTCGCGGCCAGAGAACAAGTCAGGGGCATTTGAAACGATGTGACACGGCAGCTTCTTGTATCTCTTGCCCACAGTCATTGGCGTCCAGATAACACGATGGCTGGGCTATGAGCCAAAAGCAGATTCTGATCCAAGGGCTTGGCACGTAAGCTGGATGCGGAATTGCAGTATGATCACCAAGCAGATTCTCTTATGGAGGACCGGGAGAATGCTCACGAGACATGAAATATCTCCGCAGTTAAGCAACTACGGCGGCCCAGGAATCAGATGCTGTCAGTGATTCTCTGTCGCAGTAGTAAGCACTGGTCCAGAGAATCTGTAGCCCCATCCGGCCCATCCTTCTCGAGACGGGGTTTCACGCGCTCAAGTCGTTCACACTGATTACAGACCATAATATTCTTGCCGGCATCGGCAAGGCGATATCGAGAACAAGACCATTGCAGGCTGCCAGTCTGTGTCGCAGATAGGCCAGCCAGCCGGGCAGTCGTCGATATGGTGAGCGTTCGTGTCGTCGGTGTGGCCACAACCATTTGGGCGCTGCTCCACGTCTCCTCGTTCACGTGGGATGAGGTCGTCCCACAAAGGCTCGGCAGATCCTGATGCCAAGACTCTGTCCCGCGTTCTGCTCTCTGACCTTGAACGGCCAGTCGTGCCCGTTCGATGCACCCCGTCGACGACTTGTGGTTATGACAGCCTTTATCTGCTAAGTGCGTTCAACATGTCAGACTTGATTGACGAATGAACTCCCTTGCTTGAGCACCTAATCGCGGTACCGATCTCCGCCAGTACATTCGACTATGAGCGAGCCTCAAGAATTTCCAGTGCCAGGTCGTTTACTCCCGGTCTGCTGTGCGACGGTCGTTACTCCGGAGATCATCGACAATCTGATCACGATCAGCGAGACAGACTCAATGGAGAGCTTTTTCGTCATCATGGACAAAATCACTGGTATTTACAATGATCAGACCAAGGTCGGTGACTGGACCCAGCCGACTTCAGAAGATTCGCCTTTTATCGACAAGAGTCCCATGGCATGCTATCTCCTTCTGCGTCAATTGATCTCAGACACGGATTCGGACATGTGAGTGCAGTTGCCCCCGAAATGCTCGAGACAAATTCGCGGTTATACAAAGCTGATGCAATTCCTTTTTTTGCTTATAGTAATCATGAGCACTTCGCAATCTTCGATGAGAGAACTCTCAGGGATGGCTCAATAGTGCTAGTAGATGGGCCTTGGGGCAAAGGAGAGGATGAAGGAGTTGCTAGGACGGTCCGAGTTGCGCCTGAAATCGCACAGGAGCGGCTGCTGCTGTACAACATAGGCGAGCCCGAGATCGACGAGGACCAGGCAATCGCTCAAGAGGCAGTTGACGGCGTGCTTCGTGTGGAAGCTCTGATGAACCGGCCTCCGACATAGCCCTAGAAACCAGTCCACTTGATCAGTATAATCATGTGTCGAACCATCATCAAAGCTGAAGCAGAGCGTTCGCTCGCTGGTCTTTCGCCCGCCAAGTTAATCTATGCAAGATGGGCAGTCTTGACGAGAATCTGCTGAGTTTCTTCTCATCAGCGTGCAAAAGCCTGTGCGGGGCCACACATGACATCCTTGGAGCAGCATGTACGCAGAAGCGATGCCATCGTCGCAAGTTGATCCTTCTTAGTAGTGTGTATTAGCCGAGTCTCCAAGGAGAGTGTCATAACGTGTGAGGTGAAGAGAAGGAAACATGTGAAGTGTGAGACAGAAAGTACGCGCCATCGGCTATCCGGAGAAACGGCCGAGGAGGCCAGAAACGGCCTAGCGTCCGGCTCTCCAGTACCTCAGCCGGCTCACAAGTTCGCGTCCGCCGACTCGTGTTCACGATCGCGCTGCCATCAAGTCGCAAAGATGCAGCGCATGCGAAAAGCGGCGAAATGGACGCAGCAAGACCGACGATGGCGGAGAGTCGATGCGACACAGCCTCCACCCGATTTCAGCAAATACAACGTCCAGGTCGAGATACCAGAGTACGACGAGGAGATCTACGAGGAACACCTGCGACACGATGACTGGACCAAAGCGGAAACCGACTATCTCGTCGAGACGTATCGCGAATGCAATGGAAAGTGGCCGGTGGTATGGGATCACTACGAGTACGAGGACAAGTCGCGTAGCATGGAGGACCTGAAGGCGAGATTCTACAAAGTCTCAGCGCAATTACTCCAGCTCAAGACGCCTATTCAGTCTATGGGCACAGCAGAGTTTGACTTGTACAACACTCTCAACACCTTTGATCCAGCGAAGGAGGAGTCACGGAAGAGTTTGGCCAAAGGACATCTATACCGCAAGGCGAATGAGGTCGATGAAGAGACGGTTTTGTTGGGCGAGTTGCAGCGCATTATGGTCAACCAGGCGACATTGGACGGGCAACGGGAAGAGCTCAGGAAACGATTGGACTATCCACATGCGAACACGAATGGGTATCAGTATTCGACATCACAAGCCCTTACGCAGCTGTGGCAGCAACTGCTGGCGCAAGATCGCATGAAGAAGAACCCACGATTGAAGCCGACAGGTGGGTGTATCATGAAGCATACTCGTCCTGTCATCATACTGACATATTCCAGGAAATCCAAACTACGATGGCTTCATGCAAGGCGGCATGCAAGCACCTCAATCAGCTCGACCTCGCGACAGCAATGCTGGTATGTCAGAAGCTGGCGGAGGCTCTGCCCGCGACCGACGTGGTACTCGAGGCGAATCTCTCGGTGGTGCACCCAATACTCCCGGTCACGCACTGCCCGTGTCTCTCTCTGCGGCCGATCAAACTCGCATGGGCGTGGTCATATTCCCACCCGAGCACAAAGCTTCGGGAGGAATCAGTTTCGCTTCGGACCGACTTACGAAACCTCGAGTGGCGAAGAGCACCATTCAGAGTGAGAAGATCGCGACGATTCTGGGGAGCGCGGGTGTACCAGAGATCATACCATTGCCCACACCGAAGGTGGTGGAGGCTTTTGAGGGCATTATGGGCAAGGTGCATGCTCTGCTGGACATGAGGAAATTGGCGGAGAAAGACGAGACTGAGCTGAAAGTCCGGCGGCAAGAGGCAGCGTCTTGAGACCGGCGTGTTGCCCACTACCAATTCTTGGCATTGTTTGCTGTTCCGTGTGTTCTTAGCGAGGCGTTGGAGGTGAACACGGCGAACGACATGATTCCATCAGGTGGTCATCCGAAGTGTGAGTAGCACCGGTACGAGCGATTTGCTGCTAAAGAGTGCAGCCTTGTCTAAATTGCGCTTCTGCGTCATCTGCCCAGGAGGCAAGGCAGAAATGCTCCGCAATTTGGCACACCACACCCTCGAGAAGCGCCGGGTCAGCTGGCGGCACGAGCGAAGCTATAGTAACGAGTGCTTCGAGACGAAGCACTTGCATGCATCGTAGCGAGCTTCTCGGCGAGCTCAGCCCCAAATCTCACGTCTATCTCGATCCTTTCTTGACCTTCCACAAACCGATTCAAGTCGATACCACTAGTTAAAGGTGGCAACAAGCAGCCCTTTTCATTGCGAAATGCTCTCGGTGCGTCTACGCATGGAATGACTTGTTCGGATTCGAGGCGACGACCTGCTTGCTCTGAGGCGAACTCTGCATGACCTTTACACTATGCCACCCTCTTATTTCCACAAACGATGCCGCGCTATCGTGCAAAATCGCATGAAGGTCAAGACGCCTACCTCCGTTGGCGAAATGCGCACGCTAGACGATGCAAAATCGCAAATACGCCTATTGAGATTCCACCCGAAGGGATCCAAGGCCTCCCGGCGTGATCTGATAAGACTCGAGTTCTGGAGAACGGATGATGCACCACCATATGCGGCGATATCGTATACATGGGGTCCCGAGTTCCCACAAAAGCTACTTCCAGTATCCGGCGAGATGATCAGTGTCCGTCTCAATAGCTGGTACGCCATCAAGCAAGCTTATGAAGAAGGAAGCTTCATGCACGTCTGGATTGATAGCATTTGCGTTGACCAGACGAATCTGGAGGAGAAAGCGCACCAAGTACGACTCATGTCAAGCATTTACCGCAACGCAGTCTATGTCCTCGTATCCCTCGAACCGGTTTCCGATCGTTTCAGTGCAATTTGTCGCCGGATTCGTGCCTTCGAGGGCAATCCATCTTGGGCCGCGTGGGAGGGTGCACATCACCCTGGATCGCATCACCAAGATGGTTTCAACGCAATAAGTAACAGGGAACACATACTCAACACATGGCGTCATTCGTCAGAAGGAAGACAGCGAGCCTTTGATGAGTGGGGGAAACAGCTCCGAGGGATCTCCTTGTTGCCCTACTGGTGCCGTTTATGGATTGTACAAGAGCTATCGTTGGCCGGCGCAGTGCGACTTATGCTTGGCAGCTACGTGATTCATTGGCGTAGTCTATGTTCCTTCTACACCTTTTATGTGCTGTGGGGGAACGGCATGCCGTGCGGGCTACCATCGGTATTGGCCACCTCTGCCGGGGCGACCCCTGAACGGCGATCTTTGCACGAAGTTCTGGAGGCCTGGTCGCACCAAAAGTGCTCTGATCCGCGGGATCGAGTGTATGGCTTGTTGAGTCTAGTCGATTGGCCAGAGCGGCTCGGGCCCATTACAGCAGACTACACGAAATCAGTTCTAGCACTCGCGGCCGAGACTCTGAAATATGAGGTCAGGTGCTACAACATCCTAAGAATCATGAAATGCGAAGCGCTGGAACATAATCTGGACCAACAGCTGCTTTTGAGGCGTGAGGGTTCAATGTCGACCGATAGCTGCCTCTTTCCGACTCGGACTGAGGCGCATATCGACCTCGATCCCTGGGTCTGTCATCGAGTTACCACCAATCAGCATGGTCAATCGTTTCTCCCGTTGCACCCGAAAGAGTATCTCGAATACGGGCAGAAACGAAGCCACTTGCTCCCCGCCGAACACCCAGGACGTAAGCGATTGCTCTCTACAGACGGCTCCCCCTATATTGTTGGTGACATCTGCTACGACGCTCAAGCCGACGACCTCGTAGCTTGGCATTTTTACGGGCCCGCAGTGCATTCCAGGCAAGATGTTGGCCTGGTCCTGCGCAAGACCCCCTATACCGATCTCCGAGGCGAAGTAATATACGAGATCATTGGTCAATGTAAGTTACTCATCGACTACGTCCAATGCGGTTACAGTACCCATAATTGCCACTGCGATGATAGCGATGCGCGAGTCCTCAGGCGTGAAAGGTTTCCAATACATCTGCATCTTGACCCCATGGACGCGATGGTCTTCGAAGGACAGGGTCTATTCGAGTCTGAATCTGACAACAAGAGGATCATCACAAGGTTCTGTGGTACACCATGGTCGTCATTTGCGACTACACCTGTGAAATTATAACCAATTCGCCAAGGACTTGTTCTTAATGAGAGGAAGCACAGCTGCGAGTGGCGAGAACTGGTGCCACTTCTGATTGATTCGACAAGCTCCAGCAGAGAATTTTGATGTTACCGTCACCTCCGGAAGGGCCTTACGTCGAACGAAAAGAGATGCTGTTCGCCGCAATTGAACACTTCTCTTCAGAACTGATACATCTAGTCAGGAGTGGCCGCATCCGGCAACTCCGTTCGAGTCGCCTACAGCCAGATCATCTCACAGAATACAACAGGACTGGTGCAGAAGGAAGTACACAGGCGACATATGCATGCAAGATTGCCAGGTCAATATTAGTAGGTCGTCGGCCGGGGCGGCTTCGACATAGCGATACGGGTATCTCGATATAATGCAATACGATCAGCCACCACAACCTTTTCAAACACTGTTTCCGTACACGCATCGATGGATCATGCATTCAATGCCAATCCTAGCCCAGCCCAGAACGCCTCTTTCTCCATCTTGCGCTACTATGCCATTCCTCCTGTACCATGTCTCCTTCTCTCCCTTCAGTGCTTACTCGAAGCTCGCCTCCCGAGCTGCACCAGCGTCGTGGCAGTCGTTGCCCGCTCCTCATACAGCCTCCGCAAATCGTCAACACTACTCTTCTTCAGATCCAGTCTGCGAGGCTCCAGTTTGGCGCTGTTGCTAGTAGCCTGCGAGTCTGTGCTTCCTCTGCTTTCCCAACTGTTCATCCTATTGAGCAAGCCGGCAGAAGGAGCACGTGGCTTGGGTACGTGCTGTACGGCGCCTCCACTGGCTCCATCGACGTTCGCGGTGGAGATCAAGGGCACTGCGGTGTTGGAAGTCCTGGTCGGCAGGATGGGCTTCGCCAGAGACTGGATATCAGGACGCTGCTTATTGGCCGCCGATGCTTGCCACGACGGTTTGCGGAACACCGCAGCGTTCGCGCTGCTTGAGGGTGAAGTAGGAAGATGAGGCGGCTTCACAGCAAGGTCTCCTGGTGCTGAGCGAGGCGCATTTGTAGCGGAATTCGTGCTAGCCGAAGCAGCTTGAATGTCGATAACGTTGTTCTGTGTCACATTATTAGCGGCTTGGCGTGCGGCCATCTCTGCCAGGAGGGCGTGTGTTCCAGGGGGCACGAAAGGCATGGAGGGTGAGGAACTGCTCGTGCTCGAAATGACTGGACCATTCTGCTGGGAAGCGGTCGTGCTCTCGTTCTGGGAAGTGTTTTCTGGGGCAGTGCTGGTGCTCGCGGTCTGGAGATCGTTGTGCAATGCCGTCTCGGCTGGTCTGTTCTCACCCTTGACCGAGGTCTGCCTACTAACAGGCTTTCGCTTGGGTACATCGCCAGTGATCCCAGGAATTGACCCAATGATCTCTGTTGAGACTGGTCGACTCCGAGATGACTCTCCGACCGGGCGTCGATGTATGGGTTTCTGTGCTCGTGAATCATCTAAAAGATCCATGCTGGCGTCATTGCTCTTCGGAGGGCTGACACCGCCTGCATGTATTGGCGCATAGCTGCCAGGTGAATCCGATCGCGGCAAGTTTCTGCCTTCGTAGTCGAAGAGGCTGGAGTATCTCGGTGGCGCACCTACATATGCGGCGTCGGATGCAGGCTCGTAGCCAGGCTGCGCTGAAGGTGATGGCTCGCGCTGTGCCGCCTTGTTCCGACGTGGCAGTTTGGGCAATTCGACGTTCGGCAAGTGCGGCGCCAGCGCAGCTTTGAGCGACGTGGCTCTAGAACGGCGCCTAGGGGGCAACGCTGGAGGCTTCTCTGACGACGAGTCAGAAGAGTCTGACTCGTTCATTGAGATCCTGTGTCCTATCTGACTTTTCTCACTTGAGGCATCAGACCCGTCAGATGGACGTCGCAGGGCTTCGAGCGGGTCCTCGTACTCATTTGGGTCGATAGGCGGGCTGAGGTCAGCATAGAACGCACGCTCTTCGATGTCGATTCCCGCCCGGAGCTGAGGCCACATATCTATGGCAGCGACTAGTATCCGCTTGACAATACTCGAAATTTTTGCATCGGCCATCTGGTCTGAGCCACAAACGAGGCACATGGCGAAACAGATAGCCAAGTTCTCTGCACCCATCTTGTTGTGTGGCTCGTGCGATGCGACCAGAGATAGCAGAGGGAGCAGGTGTCTGGTCAGGATCTCTCTCGATGTGGGAGGCAGAGGAGACATTGACGAAGTGGGAAGGATGATATCGACCATGTCCTCGGGCGTCAGCTCCGTGTCGGGATCGCTGTAACGCTCTCGGAGCGTCGCGTAGCATGACTCTGGGAATACTGGCTCGCGCAGCTCGCGATACCATGTCTTGATGAGCGAGGCGGCTGAGTGCACGCCGTATGCATCCTCCAAGCGAATCTCATCGACCAGCGATTTTGCAAGACCCGGCTGCACGAAGGTTGCACCTTGATCCTTCCACACTATCCATTTCTGTCCGCGGTCGTAAGCCTCTCTGAGGACACCAACGAGGACCGAGTGAGGCGGTATGCGGAAGATGCCCTCGGTCTTGAGATTGGAAGGTTCCACCAGGAAGGCCGTGGTTTCCCTCAGCGCGCGAGGCAAGCGCGTCCTGCCGGAGTCAATGTTCCTCGGGAATGGTTGCTTCACGCTGAATGCACGTCTGCCGGTGACAAAGGGTGAGTAGATATTGGGTGAGTACTTTCGATCCTGCAGATATGCGGATGGTGGGGTGAGCAGATGTTCGATGGGAATATGCAAGGCCAGTGAGGTCAAACAATTGACGTGTACTATCTTCCGTCGAAATTTTGGCGACACAATGGTCCCGAATATGTTGAGCAGCACTCTGACCCATGTGCGAGGGTGCACAATGTACAGCATGGCCAGCTTCTTCCGCAATGCCCTCCCCAGCACGTGGTATGCTTGCAGATACCATCCGGTAGCGGGACCCTGCTTCTTCTCTGCCGTTGCATTGTCGGGAGGGCCTCCTGCAAAGAAGACAATCTCGTACTCTGTGCCTGCGATCAACTCGTCTTCGCCGGGCAGTCGAGCGAGGACATAGGAAAGCAAGCTATCGTAGTCGACTTCGAATGCATCGGGAAAGGCAGCGGCGTTGAGGATGTACACGGGCCTGCCGTCTTTGGATGGGAGGGGTGATCGGTAGAGGATGGTGGCAGCAATGGCCGCGAGCTCAGGCAGATAGTCGGCGGAGTCTGGGGCGGGCGGCACGGTGGAGAGGGAGTTGCTCCTCGCACGTCCCGTCCTCCACTGGGCATCCGCCGCCAGCGCGGTCCTCAGGGCAGAACGCATGGTGGGCAGGCAGGACAGTGGGGAGAAGGATGAACAATCGTAGCAGCGGGCGGCGGAGGTTAGTATAGCAGGCTCCGTCATGCAGACGGCATCCCTGTTTCTATGTTACGGAAGCGCACGCCCGCGCGGGAGATTGGCATGCCAGTAGTGACGAGGAGGTCGTGTCGAGGTGTGCGTCGTGTGATGCGGCGGAGGTGGGCTCTTAATGCTGCTGCCGCCTGGCAAGATTGGCGGCGGAAGAGGGTGGTCGACGCGGCACCCGCCCACGCAACGCAACGAAACACTGGACTGGCAACAAACTCGACGTCAACAGCATCATCCCGACCGTCGGCCACAACACACGCGCGTGAAATGTCGCCAGCATGCAGGGATGCCGACCACGGATCTACCCGCTACTAACTAATGCAACGTAATTCGTGCCAATGCACTGGTGGCATATTTCGGCCGCTGTCGGTGTCGGCCGGATATTTTGAGTCAACGGAACAGTCATTGGCAATCGATAGTGCCGCCGTGCTCTTTGTACAACTCCCTTCCATTGTCCGTTGCTCCTCGTACACCTACTACACCACCGCTTCCGCCAGAAGGCCCGCCACCACCATGTGCGGCATCTTCGCCTGTCATCAGTGCGTCGTCGCCGCTCCCCCGCCCG